GGGTGGAGGAGGCCTAAGCCCACTAAGAGGCTTTATGTCAACAGAGACATCTGAGTTGCATGATTTTCTTTCAATGGCATTATTATTATTAGTGTTATTGTGCAAGTCTTTGGACGGTTGATGGGGTGTGCGTGGAGTCAAGGAGCCGCTGTGTTGGTTTGTATCTTCATCAAGAAAGTGGGAAGGAGGTGACCTTCTTGAGAACAATGCTATGATTATGGCGATTACTGCTAATACTCCCATCACAATTCCTGCTATGGCCATTCCACTTACTTTTGGGGATGAGTTGCTTGACCCGTTTTTGTTCTTGTTTTTCTTTGCCCTATCTCCTGGTGGTGGAGGAGGAGCTGGTCCAGATGACCATGAATTGCCTCCAGTTCTTCACCAAAGTATAAACATCAAACAAAAAAGACAACAAGAATCGATCAACTTGCATTTAAAGCATCATGTTTCAATTCATTTAGTCTGACGATCTTTTTAGAAAGTTTGTTGTAACTGCCTAAGCCCACAGCTAGTAAATACTGTCCTCTTTGGGCTTTCCCTTTCGGGGTTCTCCTCAAGGTTTTTAAAACGTGTTTGCTAGTGAGAGGTTTCCACACCCTTATAAGGAATATTTTGTTCCTCTCTCCAACTGATGTGGGATCTCACAATCCATCCCCATTAGGGACCCAGCGTCCTTGCTGACACACAGCTCGAAACCTGGCTCTGATACCATTTTTAACAGCCCAAACCCACTGCTAGCAAGTATTGTCATCTTTGAGATTTTCCTTTCGGGCTTCCCCTCAAGGTTTTTAAAACGTGTATGCTAGGGAGAGGTTTCCACACGCTTATAAGGAATGTTTTGTTCCCCTCTCCAACCAATGTGAGATCTCACAATCTACCCCCCTTGGGGGCCCGACATCCTTGCTAACACACCGTCTGGCACCTGGCTCTTATACCATTTGTAACAGCTCAAACCCACCGCTAGCAGATATTGTCCTCTTTGAGATTTCCCTTTCGGGCTTCCCCTCAAGGTTTTTAAAACACATCTGCTAGGAAGAGTTTTCCACACCCTTATAAAGAATGTTTTGTTCTCCACCTCAACCAATGTGGGCTCTCACATTTGTAGGAGAGGAACGAGAAACTTTTGTCTCATAGGGTTGCCAAATATTTCTTCTAAGTTTCTGTTTCTTTTATTCAACTTCCTAAGCTTCTAAATTTGAAAAAACCCACATGAATATAGCTCAACTGACATAAAACATGTATTATCGACCAAGAGATCAAAGGTTTGGAACTCTCGGCTCTCGTCATTCATGCATGAAAGAGAGAGTGAAAAAAAGGGAGTGCCATACTTACTCCAAATTATCTATGTCCTGAAGGCTATCAGGAATCCATCCAGTGAACTTGTTATTTGTGACTCTCCTTCAGCCAAAACATCAACAAATGAGTTAAAGGCTTCAAAACTCTTGAAACAGACATGCATTATCTTATGCTTGGGAGTTACTTACAAATCTTTGAGTGGAAGATCAGCAAGAACATTAATGGAACCTGTAAATCCATTATTTTGTATATGCCTATAAAAACGAGTAAAAATGTTAATTACTGACAGTAATAAACTCAACTACTCTCAGTCTACCAATCTTAATTTGCTTCTCACAATACAGTAAGGCTTGAAAGGTTCTTAAAACTTAGAGGTAAGTCTCCTGAAATCGAGTTGAATGAGAGATCCCTGTAAAAAAAAACATTGGTTTGTTAAGGTAAAACATTAATGAATGGATAATTTTACATATTTTAAGGTTACTTACATCCTGTTGAGTTTAGAAACGTTGCCAAACATGTCACTCAATTGGTTGCTCAGCTGATTATGCCCAAGATTTCTGCAGCCGACAGACAAATCATCATAAGATCATGTGGCAAACATATGAAGCTACAAGAACATGTTAGTTTAAGATACTTACAAAACTTGAAGATTAGACATCTGAGATATTGAATATGGCACGCTACCGGTGAAGCTGTTCGTGGAAAGATCGCTACATATATCGAAAAATGTGTTAATTGAACGACTTATTAGGACGTCGATTCAAACAGACACTGCATATATGAAACACTTACATGGAAACTGCATTAGGGGGAAGCTGATAAGGGATATCGCCATTCAGGTTGTTATTGCTCAAATCACTGTACTATCACAAGGAACAGCATGCTTATTACCTTAAACTGATGTCGTTTAATTAACAAAAATATGTTTAGATGATTAAGTGGGTCTCACAAGGAGGTGACAGAAGCCAAATTTGCAAGCTGGTAGCCTAATGTTCCACTCAGTTCAAAGTTTGATAAAGTTCTGTAGGATAAAAAACGCCAAAATTTAACCCTTACAAGTTAATCCAAGGTAATTTAAAGAACAATAAGAGAGGTAAAGTTTTGAAATTACATTTCAGTGATGGATGATCCTGAGCATTTGATCCCTTCCCAAGAATCCCCACATGGGTCTCCCCCACTTGACTTCCAACGAGAGAGTTGTGAAGGTGAATTTAAACTGCTAAACATCACATTCAATGCAGAAACTGCAACAAAAAAAATTATAAGTAATTCGTTCCATTTTCAAGGTACCGATAAACTATGTCGTGGACCATACAAGTACGCGACGAGCCCATGTAAAGGGTCTAGTTAAGATCTGCCAAATTCCATCAAGTATACAAATATAATCTAATTATACATGTGAGATCCCACATTGGTTGAAGAGGGGAACAAAGCATTCCTTATAAGGGTGCAAAGGGTTGTGGACCATACAAGTACGCAACGAGCCCGTGCAAAGGGTTTAGTTAAGATATGTCAAATTTTATCAAGTATACAAATAGAATCTAACTATACATGTGAGATCTCATATTGGTTGGAGAGGGGAACGAAACATTCCTTATAAGGGTGTGGAAAATTCTCCCTAGAAGACACGTTTTAAAACCGTGAGGTAGATGGCGATATGTAACAAGACAAAACAGACAATATCGGTTAACGGCGAGCTTGGGATTTTACAAAATGTTATAAGAGTCAGTCACCAAACAGTACGAGGTTATAAAATGTTATCAGAGTCAGTCACCAAACAGTGCGAGGTTATAAAATGGTATCAGAGTCAGTCACCAAACAGTGCGAGGTTATAAAATGGTATCAGAGTCAGTCACCAAACAGTGCGAGGTTATAAAATGGTATCAGAGTCAGTCACCAAATCGTGCGAGGCTATAAAATGGTATCAGAGTCAGTCACAAAACAGTGCGAGGTTATAAAATGGTATCAAAGGCAGTCACCAAACCGTGCGAGGTTACAAAATGGTATCAAAGTCAATCACCAAACGGTGCGAGGTACTGGTCGGAGTAGGACTATACTCTCTTCATAGTGGAGGTGTCTTAAAACTGAGATGCTGATGGTGATACGTAAACGAGCCAAAGTGAACAATATCTGCTAACGATGGGCTTGAGATGTTACAATATGTTTCCACACATAACTGAACGAGTTTGATTCTAACATAACTCAATTGGCTAAAATGTAAGAAAACGTAATTCCATCGTTAAAAGATTAGTAACGAAGGACATTTTGATATAATTTAGGTAAAAGAAACAAATGAGAACAAAATGCAATGAATCATGAAAAACATAAAGGAACGAGAATAAAATTGAGAGGAAGATGAAGAGAAGGGGATGTTGGTTACCGTCGGACGCCTTGGTTTCAGAAACAACTGAAACGGCATGGATGGAGATCTGTATGATCCAGAACACAAAAACATTGAGGTTCATGATTGATGATAAGCAAAAAGGGGGGTTGAAAAAATGGAAGGATTGAATTGTGGAGGGATTCAGGTGATGAAGAACAATCATGAGGCTTCAAATGGAGTTAGGCTTATGGGTTTTGGGTTGAATTTGAGATGAATATCCCACAAAAATGGGATGCACAGATCTTAGTAGGACGGACAAAAGAGGCAAATGGAGCTGTAATCTCATCATTAATACTTAAATCCTAAATTTAGGAGTGAGAGACAGGACAGGACAGAAGGATTCTCGTACCATGCACTGTTTCTTTTGAATTGGTCGTTCAAGTATCTCTGTTCTTCCCAATTATAGGAAGTTTGCTTAGTTTATTTACTCTATTTGGCATGAGCTGTTCTATCATGGGGTTAGATCACTACTTTTTCAAAAGGGTCTTTAATCATTTTAGATTCTTTCATACTTCAATTATAAATAAAATAATGATTATAAATTAAACAGTTGATTAAATCGCAACATATTTTAGTGCACTAAAAATTCGTTTCCTTCAAAAATTGGTAACCTCTACGACACTAAAACTAGTATCTTGACATTGTCTTATAAATGACAATAATTAATTGTGTGTGGAGTATCTACGCTAGGGATAGTGACTCGATATGAACAAAAATCCTCCAATTTGTATGTGCAGGCCTCGTGCCTTTTCAAGTAGAGTGTCGAAGTATTGGCATTTTGACGCTGTGGCCTCGAGTCTAATGCCATGTTTGGTGCATTTTGGGTACGAAGACGCAGTTGGTGCTATCTAAACAGTTTTCTAATTTCAACACCTCTTCATATCCCCAAAGGCTTCCGGTTTATGCCAAAATTAACTCAAACAACCACAGCTCTAGTATAGACAATCATTTCCGCTTATATTGTTTAAATCCTATAAAATAACAAAAAAATATATTTAAATGTACCCCATAGTTAAGCCCAATGATAGAGAGCCACGTGTAAAAAGATAAAAATATATGAAATTTGAAAAAGAAAATAATAAAATTATTCATAAATACTTGTATAGGTAATTTTGAAACAAAGTGTTAATGAGCATCTATCATTTTTTTTTAAGTTTAGAAATATAATTAAAACTTTAAAAATATTACTAATGTAACCTTAAAGTATATATATATATATTTTAATTTTTATTAATTTAACTATTTAACAATATTAATTTATTTTAACCTTAAAAAAACAAAAGAATTAAATCCCCGCGCAAATCAGCGAGGCAAAAGTATTCCCAGTCGATTGTGACAAAAACCCGAGGTAGGGTTCTAGCTCCGTTCAAGTTCACAAGAGGGAAGCTTGTGCTGCAGAGTGCAGACCGGTGAATGAAACCGACAAGAACGGAGAACATGGGGCGTCGGGTGCCATTAGCCGGAATGGAGACCTCGATCATGGCTACCGACGCCGTAGAATTCATTGATGTTTCTGTTCCTTCTTCCTCACTAAGAGATGGCGCCATTGCTTCCATTGCTCCACCAGCTTGCACCTCATTCACTGAGGACCATGCCTCTTGCGCCGTCGTAGGAGATCCTCCAACCTATCTCATCTGGTATGTTCCTGATTTCCCTCGCACTTTATCGACTCCCTAGTTTGGTGCTAATAAGCCCTGTTGCCCTTCCATTCTTCTTACGCATCAGGAGGATTCGGAAGATTCGACCTCATGTAGTCGAGCTGCTTCAGTTTTCAACTGCCAATGAATTTCGTAGGATTGGTCTTCGAATTGCCTTTCCGGAGACACTTCACCCAGCCGTGTTTGTCTGCAATAATGAGGTTAATTTCCATTTTCCTAGTTTGAATTTTCAGCCTGTGGAATATTTCAACGTATTATTTATGTTCGTGTAACACTGCAGATTAGTTCGTCTACTGGACATCCTTTCTTGATGTACGCCGTGACTTCGTCCGGGATCGCTTATTGTTTGAAGCTGCGAAATGTTTCCTCATACATATCCTGCTCTGTCATTCCTCTCGATGAGGTTGTGGAGTTTAATTTGCACACTCATCCGGACAGCAAACCAGTAACCAGCGTCTCTGCTATATCTGGATGTCTCGTGATTGGGAGAAATGATGGATCAGTTTCATGTTTCAAACTTGGGTCGCTTGACCAACATAGCCCTGGTATGTATTTACTTTTCAGTACAACCAGTGGCTACATTATCTATTGTAATTTGTCCAAGCATGATCGAGAAAAATAGGAAGCTTCTTTATGCGATCCAGAACAGATGGTTGTTGGCTTAAAACTGTAGGATGTTCTTTGTCAATTCCGAAATGCTTTCTTGTATTTCTATTTCACAACTGTTATTTTTATTTATTACTGTTTAGACGGCGGCTTAGACTGTGCCACTGCATGTCAATGCAAACTTACAGCTATCTGCAATTGATTTTAATTCTTCATATTTTGTCCCGCCCTGCTATTTAGAATCCTTGAAAACTTGTATTATTTTGTTACATTTATGCATTATCTCTAACAATTAGTATTTATTTAACTTCTAGGCTTTCAACATGAACTACGGGATGATTCAGGATTCAATCGTCTCTTGGGTTTCATTTCAAGGTGCACACTTTTGAAATATCACATTATTCAGATGTGCATCTTACTTAAAAAATTTGCTTGCTTCTTGTTTCTGATTGAATGATTGGCAATGAGGTTGGCGTTTTCAGTCTCAAGCACATATTTGAACATGTATTTTTAAAGAACATTTTAAGAAGGATTATACTTAATATTAATTAGCATTACTTTAAGGTTATCAATAGAGGTTGGCATTATAGTTCACATCCTTAGAAAAAAAAAGGTTGGCATTGGCAAGCAAATTTAGTTTTGGAGTGCAGGGTGTTTCTTCCTGCAAGAAGAGATTTCCTATTCTATTCAGCATTGTGTTCTCTCTTAGTGGTTCTATCTTTTTTCAAAGATCAATTATTATCTTGGAGGGAGTCTATTGTTTTGTCCAAGTTCTACTCTATTCATTGGTGCTCTTTGTTTGATAATTACACTCATGATATTTGTTTTGATTGTGTTGCATTCACTCTTTTTTGCTTTATTTTTCTCCTAATTAAAGACTGTTTTTCTGTTCAATCCTTGTTTTAGTTTTTCATCAATCACTGAAAAGTTCATTTTTTATGACAAAAAAAAAAAAAAAACTTTGGGATTTTGAGTAGCATTACTTGGTCATTTTCCTTGGTTTCTTTGATTTATTAATTATTATTTAATAGATATTAAAATGCACTCTCATTTAATTGAGGAAAAGAATTTGGGCAAAGAGGTAACAATGTGGATATTTTTATGGTGAGGAGGTCAACATCCATATATACGTAATGACAACGTGGAAGCAATTTTTTTTGGACCGGAAATTGAAAAGGAACTAAAGAGAGGTATCGAGGAACAAGTGAAATAATGTTTATGGAATGGTCTTGTCGAATATTTGCAAGTATTGGGTATATTTGTCTTAAGTTCCAAGCCGAAGGTGAAAGAATAATATCTTCGGGGGGAAAAAAATTTAAAAAGTTTTAAAGAATTGATAAATTGATTTTTGAAATATATTATTAAACAAATAATGGTATGATACCCTTGGAGGGGAAAGCCATGGTTGATGATGATCCTATCTTGAGTACTAAGGGACCTGAGGATGTTAAAAAACAATTTTATTAAAAATGTAGTTAGGCGGATTTGTCTAGATGTGATTATGATTCAAGAATCTAAATTAAGAAACATGGAAAAACTGATTTTGAGTTTTACATATATCATGTAGGAAAAGGTCGAGGTCATTGAAAGATCAGGTGGTTTGGTCATTCTTTAGATGAGAGAAAGGTAAAAGTAGTGGAAGTACTAAAAGGAGTGTACTCTTTGAGTTAACAAAAAGGAGTTCTCTCTCTTCCTCAAAGGTTGGTGATGCAAGGTGGTACAATTGTTTGGATTACAAAATTGTATGGGCAATACAAATGTAAGGCGGATTTTTTTTGATAAAGTATATTAGGAGGAATTAATGACTCTTCTTGAGTATTTGACTAGAGCTTGATGTATACAAGATCTTAATATTTGTAGATGGTCATATGAAAAATATATATGTGATTATGATTCAAGTATTCGGATTACAGAACATGGAAAGACTAATTTGGAGTTTTACAAATATCATGGAAAGGTAGAGGTCATTGGCAAATCAGATGGTTTGTTCATGCTTTGGATGAGGAAAAGGTAAAAGTAGTGGAAGTACTAAAAGGAGTGTACTCTTTGAGTTAATAAAAAGGAGTGCTCTCTCTTCCCCAAAGGTTGGTGATGCAAGGTGGTACAATTGTTTGGATTACAAAAGTGTATGGGCAATTCAATTGTAAGGAGGAATTTTTTTGATAAAGTATATTAGGAGGAATTAATGACTCTTATTGAGTATTTGATTGAAGCTTGATGTATAGGGGGGAGATCTTAATGTTTGTAGGTGGTCATATGAAAAATCTAGATGTGATTTAAGTATCCGGATTAAGGGACATGAAAAAACTAATTTGGAGTTTTACTTATATCATGTAGGAAAAGGTAGAAGTCATTGGAAGATCGAGTGGTTTGTTCATTCTTTGGATGAGAGAGAGGTAAAAGTAATGGAAATACTAAAAGGAGTGCAGTCCTTTAGTTAATTAAAAAAGAGTGGTCTCTCTTCCCCAAAGGTTGGTGATGGAAGGTGATACGGTTGTGTGGATTAAAAAATTGTATGGGGAATACAAATATAAGGAGGATTTTTTTTTTTTTTTTTTGAGAAAGTATATAAGGAATGTAGATGACTGGAGCTTGATTTATAAAGGGAGATCTTAATGTTTGTAGATGGTCATGAAAAATGTAGATGTGATTATGATTCAAGTATCCAAAAAATTAAGGAACATGGAAAGACTGATTTGGAGTTTTACAAATATCATGTAGGAAAAGGTAGAGGTCATTGGAAGATTAGGTGGTTTGTTTATTCTTTGGATTAGTGAAAGGTATACGTAGATGAAGTACTGTAAGGAGTGTACTCTTCGAGTTAATAGAAAGAAGTGCTCTCTCTTCCCCAAAGGTTGGTGATGGGAGGTGGTACAATTGTGTGGATTAGAAAATAGTATCGATGATACAAATATAAGGCCGATTTTTTTTTTGATGAAGTACATAAGGAGGAATTAATGACTCTTCCTGAGTAATTGACTAGAGCTTGATGTATACAGGAAGATCTTAATATTTGTAGATGGTCATATGAAAAATATATATGTCATTATGATTCAAGTATTCAATTACAGAACATGGAAAAACTTATTTGGAGTTTTTCATATATCATGTAGAAAAAGGTCGAAGTCATTAGTAGATCAGGCGATTTGTTCATTCTTTAGATGAGAGGAAGGTAAAAGTAGTGGAAGTACTAAAAGAGTGTACTCTTTGAGTTAATAAGAAGGAGTACTCTCTTCCCAAAGGTGGGGATGGTAGGTGGTATGATTGTGTGGATACAAAATTGTATGTGCAATACAAATATAAGGTGGTTTTTTTTTTTTGACAAGTATACAAGGAGGAATTAACAACTCCTCTTAGGTATTTGGCTTGAGCTTGATGTATTGGGGGAAATTTTAATGTTCGCAGATGGTCATATGAAAAATCTAGATGTGATTATGATTCAAGTATTTGGATTAAAGAACATGGAAATTGATTTGGAGTTTTACATATATGATGTAGGAAAAGGTAAAGGTCATTGGAAGATGAGGTGGTTTGTTCATTTTTTCGATGATAAAAGGTAAAAGTAGTGGAAGTACTAAAAGGAGTGCATTCTTTGCGTACATAAAAAGGAGTCGTCTCTCTTCCCCAAAATGTTGATGATGGGAGCTTTGACGATTGTGTGGATTACAAAATTATAGGCAATACAAATATACGAAGGATTTGTTTTAATAAAGCATATAAGTAGGAATTAATGACTCTTCTTGGGTATTTGATTGGAGCCTTATGTACATGGAGATATCTTATTATTTGTGAATAGTCATATGAAAAATCTAGATGTGATTATGATTCAAATATACGGATTAAGGAATGTGTAAAAATTGATTTGGAGTTTTACATATATCATGTAAGTAAAGGTAGAGGTCATTGGAAGATCTGTTGGTTTGTTTATTCTTTGGATGAGAGAAAGCTTAAAGTAGTGGAAGTACTAAAGAAGTGTAATTTTTGAGTTAATAAAAAGGAGGGCTCTCTCTTCCCCAAAGGTTGGTGATGGGAGGTGGTACAACTGTGTGGATTACAATTTATAGGGCAGGGCAATACAAATACAAAGGGTTTTTTTTTTTTTTTTTTTGATAAAGTATATAAGGAAGAGTTAATGACTCTTCTTGGGTATTTGACTGGAGCTTGATGTATAAGGGGACATAAGGTTTGTAGATGGTCATATGAAGAATCTAGATTTGATTATGATTCAAGTATGCAGATTAAGGAACATGGAAAAATTGATTTGGAGCTTTACAAATATCATGTTGGAAAAGGGTAGAGGCTATTGGAAGATCAGGTAGTTTTGTTTATTTGTTGGATGAGTGAACGGTAAAAGTAGTGGAAGTATGAAAATGAGTGTACTCATCGAGTTAATAAAAAGAAGTGCTCTCTCTTCCCTGAAAGCAATAATTTACGAAGGATAAATAAGCGAATGTATGGATTACAAAACTTTTCATTGAAATAATGAAAAGAGAGTAATTCTCCGAGGATACAAACTCGGTAGAGGAGTGAAATAAAGTAGTAAAGAAAGCAATAGTTTACAAAGGATAAATAAAGTACTTCAGTTTTGATCAATATCCTGGAGAGTGAAATCAATAAAAACATCAGTAAGAGAACACCGAAGAGAGGCTTTACGCTGAGCAGATTCAAAATGGAAATTCTAGGAGCTGAACTTCTCTGAAAAAATCTGCGAATTTATTTCCTGCCATACCTTCGCTAACAAAGCTTTGACAATTTTTATCCATAGCAAATGAAGGGCAAGGTAGAAGCTGAAGAACATTATCTTTGGCATTTGAAGAGAAAACCAATGCATCGAAGGAGCTGAATAACCTGAACCAGCAAGCTTTAGAGTAGTAGTAAAAAAATAAGTGATTGAGAGACTCTCAAACCGAGCCATAGAGGAAACAAATAGATGGTTGAAGACAAGTCTATTGGACACATCAAAATCCAAGTAAGAATGTTGATTCTTTTTGGGCTTTTTATCTTCCAAATAGATGGGAAGAACAACTTGGCCAGTGGAGGAGAGGCCTTTAACTTGTTTGATAAGGACTTAACCGAAAATAAACCCGAGGCCTCAAGAGACCATTTTCTACAATCTGCACAATAATGATTAAAATGACAGAAAGAGCTTCCGTGAGATTATTAAAATTTGAAATCTTAACCTCCTTAAGCAATCTTCAAAGAGTTTCCTAGCAAAACACAAATAGTTCCAAAATTCTGAAATAGAGCCATTTCCAAGAGAGGAGATGCTGAATAGACAAGGAAATCTGTCCTTTGAGGAAGAAATTCTTATCCAATTGATCATGCCAAACTGAGATTCTTTCACCATTCCCTACAGAAAAGGGAGCATAGATTTCCCCTGATTTCCAAGTTCTAGAAATACTAATCCATGAACTGTGCAAACTAGAATTCAATCTTCCAATAGTATGCCAACCAAAAACATTTGACCATAGAGAATGGGCTCAGAAATCACCTTCTTCCATAGAGAATGGGCTCATTAAAAGAGTGCCAACCCCATTTAACAATCGAAGCCAGGTTTCTGTTCATCAGGCCTCCTATGTCCAAGCCACCTTCACTTGGAGAATTAGTAATTATCTTCCATCTAGCAAGATGAGTAATCTACCCAACACTACCCCCGCCCCAAAAGAAATTCTGCATGGATCTTTCAAGTTCCAAACATATGCCGGAGAGAATGAGGAAAATTGACATAATATAAGGGAAAATTAGAAAGCACCGACTTGCAAAGTCTATTCTTTGAGCTGAAATCTCACAACTTAGCTGAGCTGAAATCAAATGCAGCTTAGAATCCTCTACATTAATTTTCTGTAAATATTTTCTATTAGGGCATTTAAAACTTTGCTAGTCCATAGAATAATTAATGGGGAAAGAGGACTCCCTTGCCTAATTCCTATGGTACAATAACTCTACCTCAGGGCCGTCCGTTAATGAATATACAAAATTTGGGGTTTCGAACACACCCACTAATCAATTGAATCCATTTTTGAGTCAAACCGTCTTAGTACAAAAACCTGTTCAAGGAAATCCCAATCAACCAGGTCAAAGTCCTTTCAATCTCTGGCTTTAAAACCCAACCCTTTTTTTCTTTAGTCTATATTCTTCCACAATTTTGTTAGTAATGAGAATGGGGTCAAGGATTTGTCTTCCTTCAATGAAAGCACTTGGGAGACTGAGATAATTGAGGGCATAATTGTGAAACCTTGAATTGAACTATTTGGTTGGCTCATTTATCTATTCAACCTTTCTTTCCTTCATTCTTTTTTTTTGTAAGAACAAAATTTGAACAGGTTTTTTGCTTTCTTTATTCATGGTGCTAAAGTTGTTAAATTTATTGCATTTATTTGAAGAAAATATGAAAAGTTCACTTGAAGTTGTTTATATTGCAGAATTAATTTATAGTGCTGTATTTTATAGTTCAATCTTTTCTTTATTATCGAAGTTTCTTTTAAAAAACTGATAACTTGGCTTCCCATAAAAAAAATGATGGCTTGACTTCTCATAAAAAAAAAGAATGATAGCTTGGTTTCGTGCAGGGTCAAGTTGGCAGGAGCTGTGCATGATATGGTAATATCTGAGGTCTGTGGAAGACAGTTTCTGTTTGTTCTTCATTCTGACGGAGTCTTACGAGTGTGGGATCTTTCATGTCACAGTAGGGTACTCAATCACTCCATGAATATTGCAACTATGGCAGGTACTTTTATTACCCAAAATAACCTTAGAGTAATATGTTTTGCTTATCTCTCGTGGAAGAATATATAAATGATTTGCATCCACAATAGGTATCGAGATGGATAAAGAATGAATGGACAAGTATAGCTTCCTTAGATATATGACCTCTCTTAGTTGCTAGACATCCCTAAACTCCTAACAATGAAACATACGCACATTCAAGCCCAACATAATTTAAATAGCTTGGAAACTTTTTTTGCTTGAGAGATTGAACACAAGTGGGAAAACAATAGATCAAGAGGAGGTATTGCCAATCCAATAATCTTCCCCGAACTTCACATTATTATACTTACCAACTGAATACTTGATAGAAATTTGACAAGCAATTAGAAGTAGCCTTCCATGGATATTAGATGGTTGCATGAGAAACTGCAACCATGTGTAACTAATGGAGAAAGCACATGTTTATTAATAATAATTTGATGTCAAAGTTTGTCTGGTTCTAGTGGAAAACACCGTATACATTTTGGTAGAAGTGCAATGTTCCTGGAAGCAACATTTTCAATCATTCGACATCCCTTCTTAACGAGAGGGTATTAATTAATCGTAGGTGATATGAAAAGGGACAAATGAAATTTCTTCCTCCGGTGACTTTGTGGAGTATGTGGATCTAGTATTGTCACGACCCGAAATACATAACTTCAAGCCGTGACTAACATGAATTATGACATGTAATGTATAAACGAGAAATTCACGGAAAAACATTTATTTCAAAAGAAAAACGTTTCTTTACTAGGACACATGTGCCTAGGTAAAACAAGAAAAGAAGGAAAACATGAAAGACAAAGTGTTCTATTTAGTAAGACTAGATTGACGCCCCGGGACACGCTTCCTCTGTGACAACCCACATCGATCAACGCGCCCTCTCTTGAATCGACGCCTCACGTACCTGAAAAAAAAAGGGTATAGCAAAAATAAGTATAAGAATTATACTCAGTAAGCCACCTACTTGTAGGCTCTTACCGCATCCTAATCTTAACAAACCTCCACGGAACTCTACATTAACTCAAGGACATCTGGTTTTCGTCTTAGGACCTTGGGACTTGCCCCTCGCGACAACTTGGTTCTTTGTCCTATCATTAAAAGATTTTTAAGAACTCTCTTATGCTGTCCTGTGTAATGACTGGTGCCCTACGAGTAGCTACCTCGGCATGGCTCTGAGACTATCTGGTATCTTACCTAGGAAGTGAGCTGCAACCCCCTAGGCCCATGACAGTCCCCCTGGTCGTGGAGAGCTACCCCCCTTAACCCATCCAGCTAAATGGTCTATACGACGTGAGCACACGTTTCCCATGCTAAAACGACTAAGAATAGTCGGATTCTGATCAAAAACCCCCTGTTCCCTCACGAAGCTATGACACCAATCACACACCAGTAGCATAAGGGTACCCTAGTGGGCTTCATACACCGTGGTGATCTGTGCTCTACTAGGGAAAGGATTAGATCTAATACCTTAGTACCTGGTTACTCTAACCAAGAATCCCTAGACTTATTCATACTCGCGAGTCATGAAAATTAACTGAGGACGTACATGACTATGAGCCAAAATCATCAAACACATTTCATGCAAAGTAAACATACAAGCTCAACGGGGTGATACCATCCATCAACTCTCGGAGCGCAGAGTTCGCAATTTCCCATCCTCCATTCAGCATGAACATATACATAGGCATAATAAGCGGGAATCTTAAAGCATATCAGCATTACCCAAGTAACTCTCGTAACAAATCACAACTTACATCTTACTTCCAATAATCTATTACCTACGATCATTAATGGAAAGCTACAACCTAAGATATTCAAACTAGCATGCTTGCATTCCAAGCGATTCCTACAAGTATTACTTCCTAAAATTCCATGTGGTGACTTACCTGGATGGCGCGTGCCCTTACGCAGCGTTTCTACACACTTGGTGTATCGAAAGATGGTGATTTTTCCTTAATTAGGTCCTATTTCATGTAAAATGGGTTTAGGATTGGAATCAGGGGGAAAATATGGAAAACAGAAGTCGAACGAGTCGAAAATAAGCTTACACGTGCTGGGTACAACAACTCGCTGGTTCCATGCGCGAGTACCACGCGCCCAGGGTTTTCTGCAATCGCGGGTCGCCGGTTCGGTTCGGTTTGCCGCGTGGGTATTGGGTCAGCCGACAAGCGCGGGTCGGGTTGTGTTGCCGTGTACGCGTGTTGCAAGGAGGATGGAGCCGCGTTTTTCCCAGGCGGCGTCCGACGCGTGTCTGAAGGTGATTGGCGCACGCGGCCCTCTAGCTGTTTGAAACGTGGCACGCCAGCGGCTTTTCTCTCCTCCGTTCTTGGAAAAATTCTCAGATCTTCGAGTTTCGTCCGATTTCTTCACCAAAATCAGCGGCGGATCTTCCCTTGTGGGTTTTTTTTCTGATCTTGATGAAAGAGGAGGAAATCTCAACACGAGTTCTCACTTCACTCCAAGAAGAACTCCAGAGTGCAGGTCTTAGTAGGAGATGGATTCCGGTGATTCTCCGATGAAAAACTCCGGCTATTCAGTTTCCTCTCTCAAACTTTCTCTCAATCCTTCTCTCTCACACTTCTTTCTTTTGCAGGAATTCTGTGGAGGACCTTCAAGACCCTTATAATGGGCTGAAGGGTAAAATGTCCATTTTGCCCCTCGGCTGTTTTTTTTTATTATTATTTTTATTTTTATTTTTTATAATACGTTACAAGTATTAACCCATTTCAAATGATCATTTAAAAGTAGTGTTGTTAGACTTGTATGATACATGAGTTATACTATGAGAATTGAAATGGAAGGGAGCTCCCCGATAATGAACTTGCTTTAGAATCGAAGATTGAATGATTAGTGAATTTCCAAAATTTGATTTTTTTTTTTTTCTGGATAAAGAACCTCAATTTAATTGAGAAAGAATGAAAAAATATAATTCAAGGTCATCTAAGAAAAAATAAGCCACCAAAAATGGGAAGTCCCACTAAAGGGACTCGAATCAAGTACAAGGAAACCTAATATATAATTACAAAAAAAAAAAAAAAATAATAAAAAAAAAAAAATAAATGTCTGGAAACTCACTGATATATGATATCTGATTCTACAGATAGGAAGAAAAATGTCCAATTTTTTTCAATTGAATTGAAACATGGTATAAAATTAACTGTATGGCATTGCATTTATATACTTACTCTTCCTTTCTTTTTTGGGGTTTTAGAAGCAAAGTTTGTGAGGTTGTGGGTGGGCCAAGGGAGCATCGATACGAGTACAATTCCTTTGGCAATTCTCTATAAACACCCGGTACATTCTTAATTAGTTTCTCTATTAGATTGCTTTCTATGTAACTTGTGTAGATTAACATTATATTTCCAGCACTTGTATAAGGAATCTCTATTCCATACAAAGATTTATAGTTTATAGAGTTGAATCTTTACCGTGCATTCTCTCATTGTCCCCATTTCATATATAAGTTTGCTTTTAATGCATGAGCAAATGAAAGATGTGTAAAAATTGGCATATTTGTTCATGTATTTGATCTAAATATTAAATCAACCTTTAAATGAATGCAACTTTAAATTGTCGGTGATTCAAAATTATGTGACAAAGATGTAGGCCCCTTTTGGTTCCTGATCCAAAATCTTGTGTTGGTGAATAAAAGATGTACAATTGTTTTGTTTTTTTTTTTTTTACTATTTTGGGAAACGTGTAGCAGATTCACATAATTTAATGTTGTATGTAGAATCTAAAAATTTTGTTTGATTGCAATTTTGTTTGCAAGAAATGTGGACCATATTAAAGAACAAGGAGCATACTAAAAAGAGGGGTGATGCCCCATTGGATCAAAGTGGTTACAAAAAGGTGACTCAATTGGTCCAGGAGGCAGCAAAGAAAATAATTTATGGGAATTGTTTGGAATTTTAAGTCACAAAAAGTAAAACTATAGGAAGCCATCCATCTTTAAAACAACAGGAAAATGATCAGACAATATCCGAGGAAGTCTGACAACTGTAGATTTCTTGAATTTTGCTAGCCAATCTTCATTCATTTGACATCTATCAATCGAAAAAAAACAGGTGCCTCTCACCATTATATTATGTGAAAGGCCAATTTGGGAGAGGAACATCCACCAAATTGAATTCACTAATAAACTTGTTGAATTCCCTCGTACTTCTGGTTATCGTTCTTCCTGAAGATCTCTCTTGCATCCATCTTACGAAATATTAAAGTTACCGTGATGCACCGATCTCCTGAGACAAAACTTCCAATAGCATAAAATTCCTTCTAAAAACGTTCTTGGTCCTGAGTAAAATTAGGGCAATAGACTCCTGTCACTTAACGAGACCATCCATCAGCCCACTAAATATTAAAATTCACCTATTAATGAGTCCCTAACTATCATGGAGCTTTTCATCCGACAAACACAAAATGTCACTTGAAGAGCCTAACGATTGTTAGATTGTTCACCCCACAAACCTAGAGCTCGACACTGACTTAACAAGGCTTGTAATGATTTGATCCCTTTTTATCTATTGAAGAAACACAATATTTGGCTTAGTATTTGACAAAACTTCTTTGATGAGGTGCCTCTTTCTAGCCTTGCTTAAGCCTCTTAACATTTCACAAGGAAATCTTCGTAAATCCGGACTTACCCCTTCTAAATCTTTAGATGTGTTGCCTTTGTCAGAGTTTGTCATAGTTTGTCATAGTGATTAAGTTTTCCAACTCCATATGCCCCTTTTGTTTTTTCTTATTTTGATTCTTGCCTATCTGATTGCCTTCGGGCATTATCAGCTCCTCGTAATCAGGACTTTCTATGATTGTAACGAGTCCTTTCATCTAGGATCAAGATTGTGCCATTGCCCATTTTAAAAGCTTCCAGCATTTCTTTGCCTGCAATATTTTTGTCTTGAACAAATTCTTCTTAAAAAAAAACCTTTCAACCCCTTTACACCAAAGTCTGATCCTATTGAGACATCCTCCTCCATCCTTATTTTCTTTGAAGACGGTGAGCTTAGAGGTAGTAGAAAAAATCTTCATTATTTGAAAAGAAACCTCTTTTCCCGGGGGGTTAAGCATGTATTGCCATTTTTAAAATCGTTTCTTTTTTCAAACTATTTTAGCTTAGGGGAACGTTGGTGGCTCTATTGTTTTTTTTCCATTCAGTGGGGACATTGCCATTTGAATTTGATGTTTGTGAAGCGCGGTCACATGTTGCTGAATCCCCCTCGATTAGCCAAATTTTTTTATTATTACTTTTCTATCGAAATCTAGCACAGGCTTGGTTCTCACCTCCACACTTCAGTTCCCTGCATCCAGTGAAGCAACCTTCATCTAGTACTATTAACTCTTGAGGCCGTTATAGTGTAGAGGATGTTGTTGTAGTGGGGGCTGCAGCCAAACCTTGCCAAATTGTTAGGATCTGCTCTACTTGTTTTCTAAATGCCCCTTCTCTATTTCCATTTGGTAAAAATTTCTCATCTTCTTAGGTATTAGTTGATGCTTTCCCAAAAATGGGGGGTGAGGCCTTCCTTCAGCTTAGTAAAGCGATGAGATGACTTTTAAGGGTCGGGCTAGAACTCTTTGGTCCAACACAATTATGGCTTCTTGTCCAGAAGACTTTTGGGACTCAATAAGTATGTTTGTATATGTTTTATTATACAATTTTGTTAGGTTTTATGTTTCTCTTTGGGCTTAAGACGAAGCTTGTTTGTAATATCCTTTAGGTTTTATTTTACTTGACTTGGGCATCTTTGTTTAGTTTGGCTAGCTCCCTTTCTGTGGGCATGGTTTTTTGTATGTTCTTGTAATATATCAATGAAAATTTGGCTCTTCATAAAAAAAAAAACGGCTTATAATATTAAATTGGAACTAGATAGTATAGCATTGCTATGTGCTAAAATTAATTTTATATATTAGATGTCTATCAAGACCCCCTGCCCCAGAAATGTTGTCTTGAATCAATTAACTCATTTTATAGAGTAACGTTGTGTATGATTTTTTTGTACAATTTAATACTTAATTCCCCCACCTCAATATCAACTAATATATATACAAAATTTTGAAGGATCATGGCCTGGAAATGATCAACATATATCGTTTACATTTTAGTTGGGGAGACAGGGTCAATCTATTATTGGAGCCTTCAACACACAATATTCCCTTTAATCAGGTAGTAGAAAGTAAATGATATCTCATTCAATTTTGAGTTTTTTGACTTACTAAAATTTATTTGATTTCATAATTTTTGAGCTTGATAGTCGTTGCTCCAATTTTCATTAGGGTGGATGTCTTGATGTAAAACTTGCATCTGATAAGATATGGATCTTAAAGGATAACACACTGATCTTTCTCGACTTGTTCCCTTCCGATGGTCATGCGTAAGTTTTTCTGTCCAAGGAGCCTCAAAATTTTTATGGTTTGTGACATGTAAAATACTTTTCTCTTTGCTATCGAATTTTTGTCTTGCATCAAACATTCATTATGCCTTTAAGAAGACCTACAAGTAAGGATGGTTCATTATTACGATGGGAAGGAAGGATCCTCTTGGGTCAACGAGAAAAAGAGAAATTGGTTTTGATCCTTTGGGTTTGGATTTTGATTGATCACCATCTTATATGGCAATGAAATGGTATCAATGAAGAGTTCGTTGAAAATTGAAATGTTCAAGGGGGGGGGGGGGGGGGG